CACACACACACACACACACACACACACACACACACACACACACACACACACACACACACAGAGAGAGAGAGAGAGAGAGAGAGAGAGAGAGAGAAGAGTCAGACTGTCTCCTACTGTCACGGATTGTTAGAGGCTCTCAACTGACTGTATAGTGCCTGACCCACTGTCTTAGAGAAGTACGCTGAAAGTCCCACTGCAATGATGCAGAGAGATTCCAGGGTACTTCCTTCCGAACTGTGTGGTGACTGTGCTCATGTTGTGTGTATGTATATTTCATTTAACTTGCATACAACTTGCAAATAACCGGCATATAACTTGCATATAATTTGCATATAACTTGTATATAACTTGATATAGGTACTGCTCTCAGGGGACTTTGTTCCGGACCGCACGGTGATGTCACACGTGTGTACATATGCAGTCGTACGTATGTATATGTATTCTTAGAATTTGCGGAGTGGCCTCCTACACACAGCATCTTGGTACCCAGTCGCTTTTGGTAGACATAGCACCGTATCTTTTTGTCTTGTGAGACTGTGCCTGCTCAGTGAATCCCCCGTAATTCGGGCAATCAATGCTGGCAGGAGACAGAGTGAAAATCAGCTTTGAAGATGTTCAGTGGGACGCTGGACCCGTTTTCCAGCAGGTGCTGCTCCCCACCAATAGATTGGAGCAACCAGGCGGCCCGCTAGGAGGGAAGGCTCGTATCGCTCCCCCTAACGTGGCAGCATGGTTAAAAAAAAAAAACAAAAAAAAAAACGACTGTGGTCTACGTTTTTTTTCGTTTTTCTCCTCCTTGCTGCGCAGGCAGTATTCAGAAGTATTCCAACTTTGGAGCTCTTTTGTGTGCAAGCGAAGTCCGGGATGGGTATGTGTTGTGATTATCCCCGATTGGATGTTTACAGCTGAGATGATAATCATTATGTGATGGATTTGGGTTGTGATTGGTTGTTGTTCTTGCAGTATTTAAAGCAAACCCAGTTGGAAGCACTGTCCAGCGAGAAGGCAGCCCTTCTACTCAAGCTTGAGAAAGAGGCTCGGCGTGCACGAGAAGCGAAGGTAGGATATAAGGCCTTACCTCCCCTTTTGGGGTTATAGAATCTGTACACCGCTGCTCCCCTCTAAACTGCCGGAACTTTTGAGGGGTGCCAGTTTTGTCATAGTTATGATAGTTTGGGGTCGGGCTTAGACCACCAGTGCACACCATACATACCATACATCGGGCGCGAGCCCCTTTGGGAGGGCCGAAACGTGACGCCGGCCACCAATGTTTTTGGTCGACGGTGTGGTGCCGGTGGCGGCCCCGAACTTTTTGGACCAGGCGACGAGTTTCTTTTAGGAAGGCTGGGGCTGTGTATTGGTGATTTAAGTTTTCCTTTCTGACCCCGAGAGCCGCGTCTGATGGCTTCCCCTCATATGGCTCAGGAGGCAAGGGTGTCCAGGACTTGGGGCCTAGCCACACCAGTCATGTGTTCATGCTATGAACGTAGTATGAATCTGGACGGTGTAACGATTTTCAAAGCATACAGAAAGCGCCAGTGGGATTTGACCCTTACTGGCAGTCGATACAAACTCTTTTTTTTTTTGGTTGGCTTCCAAACACTGCCGTCTTCCCTGGTTCGGGTGCACTGTGTTCGACAGAAGTCGGTCGTCAGCGCGGGCAGCCAGCTCATGCAAGTGTTTGGTGTTATGAGAAGGCAAATCTCAGCCTGCACAACTCATGCGAGTGTTTGGCGTTATGTGAAGGCTTGTAGAGCTCCTTGTGTTCCGGCACAAATGGCACAGTTTTTCTTTGAGTTGAAATCAGTATTCCGTTCACGAAGGTCCTTATTTTCTGTTCTTTTTTTTTTCTTTCTTTTTCCATTTAAAAAAAAAAGAAAAACAGGCCCTTACGGTCCTGGCTCCATGTCCATTCTGGGGAGCATCAGTCCAGTTTCTTTTCCCCCGGCAAGTAATGTATTACATAGTGACACCCTCACACTTCCTTCTGTTTGGTCGAGGTACCCCTGATCAGCATTGATTACTCCCTGTATCAGGAGGATTGACTGTCAGCTTGCCTTCTCATGAATCCCTTTCAGGTTCTTATCATCTGTTCTCTCATTGCAAAAGTCCATACAGCATGTTGTTCCTTGTACAGATATCTTTAGTTCATGGATATCTAGACTCCAGTGGAGTACTTTATTCCTAGGACAGTGGAGGAACACATGAAAGCCTTGAACTCTCGCGGCAGTTGTCATAGAATGTTTGCCACAAAAGACAGAATGAAATGCGCATGAAGGCAATTGCTACTGGTCTTGGCTGTTCTTTCTTTTGTTTTTTTCCTCTTAAAACGAACAGGTCCGTATGGGCCTGAAGGCAATCCGTGCTGTGGTGGGGTGAAGTACTCATCTTGGGGCTTCGCTTTCACCCCAACCCACTTTGCCAATTATTTAGGTGTTAGCTTGACAAGCCGTTGGTTGTGTGTTTGATTCTAGGATTGGACATGCATCCTGCCCTGGGGTCATTCCTGGTTTCATGGAGTCCAAAGCCTCCGGTATTTCCTAGGAACTTAGGAAGTCAATTGGCTCATCCGGCTTGGTAGGTAGAGCTCGTGTGAAGGTTCTGTCTAGGCATTTACAGAAGTTGTCCCTTGCTTGGATCGCAGTCCTCGGTGTTGGCTTCTCTGTTTTGGAAGTGTGTTTCTGTATGTTCACCCGACTGACCGACCGATAGAGCACCGATGACCGGCAAAAAAGTTTACACACCAGATTGTTGTTCAGAATATAGATAAAAGAAGTTTGTTTTGTGTCATATATGTCCACTCGACGCTTGAAACAAAGCTGCTAGTTGATTGCTTGGTTCCCTCTGTCCACTTGCGAATGAATGTGCCATGAGGGAAAAGAGGCATGGGAAGATAGAGGTTGCAACGTAGATAGGGCTAGACACAAGCATGAGATGAGATTTTCCTCTACTCGACGCTGTGTGTGTAGGTGATTGATCCGCCCTACTGCGCGTTGTTGTTTTTTTCCCCCTCACTGGTGCACATTGTTTTTATTTTTTTCCTCCCTGGTGCACATTGTTGTTGTTAACTGGATATTTTCCCCTCTCTCTTCCTTCCTGTCTCTTCACACCAAGACCTTCACAAGTGGGAGAAGGTTAACGGAGGCCTGATTGATCATAAATTTCTGATGCCATTTATAAGAACAAGTGGACGCGCCGCAGGCTAGGCCTGCGGCAGAGGGTGATCTCTCTCTCTCTCTCTCTCTCTCTCTGTGTGTGTGTGTGTGTGTGTGTGTGTGTGTGTGTGTGTGCGCGCGCGCTGTGTGTGAAGAGAGAGAATTCCATGTTCCGTCTGAAGTGGTGTTGTACATGAACAGGTGGAGAGTTCTTTTTTTTATTATTCTTTTGAAGGTTGACACCCTTGAGAAACTGACTGGCCCTTCGTAATTCAGGAATTCTCTTCATCTAGTTCCATCTGGATTTGAACTCAGGCGTGTATTTCAAGAGTTTGTGGGTGTTCGGTAAGAGGTGGAGAGCTCCATTCACAGTCAGGTCAAAAATGATGCCAAACGCCCCCCTCATGACCTTTCTCGTTCGGTCCTCTCTCACTCCGGTGATCGTCTTGCTCCCTCCACAGACCATTTCTCCCCATTCGTCCGAGCGTGAATGAAACTCTCTGTGTGTTCGTGCACATTACACACACACACACACTCACACACATATATATATATATATACACAGAGAGAGAGAGAGAGAGAGAGAGAGAGAGAGAGAGAGAGAGAGAGAGAGAGAGAGAGAGAGAGAGAGAGAGGGAACAGAAGTCTCCATCTCTTCACGACTTGTGCAAAATGAGAATGAATCTTCTGCTAGAACATGTAAAGATACACCGCCATATTATTTTGTCTTTCAATGGCGTGATCAGCCGCACCGTCCCCTCCCCATCCCTCCGAGTGTGAACAGAACTCTTGGTGTCTTCGCCCATAGCAGAGAGAGAGAGAGAGAGAGAGAGAGAGAGAGAGAGAGAGAGAGAGAGAGATCACCCTCACACTGCTCCCCAACCTTCCGATTTCCTTTTTGGCCCTAGTGTAAACAGACGTCTCCGCCTCGCGAAATGTGCAAAATGAGAATGAATCTTAAGACAGAACACCATATTTGTTTGTTTTTCAATGTCGTGAGCAGCGGCACCGTTCCTCCCCATCCCTCTGAGTGTGAGTGGAACTCTCGGTGTCTTCGCTCATAGCACCAAACCTCTGTCCTCGTTCATCGATGTTGCCTCCTCATTCCATGCCTGCCGAGCTTGGCTCCCCAACGGGAATGAAACAACACGTTGGCAGAACTACTTCCCTTGAGCCCTTCTCCGAACCTGGATTTAACAACACGTTGGCGGAACTACTTCTTCAGCGCACTTCTCCTAACCTGGATTTCCACGGGCCGGTGGTAAGGGTTCAGTGTGTTCGAACATTTGAACATTGGTGAAGGGAACCGGAGGCCTCGGGGCGAACATTCCAGACCGGTACGAGCGAAGTCGAGTAGAAAAAAAAAAAAAAAACGCACCCGGAAAGGGGAGACTGGTCCACGCAAGCCAACACTACAAAAGGATGGTCAGACACTGGGGAGGGCATTCTGCCTTGCACTGGCTTGGTGCTAGTGTTGTGACGTGAGGGTGCTGGAGCTGTATGCCCATTGGGCGCCAGCCTTGAGGGAGATCATGTTGGCGCAGTTCGGAGAATATCCCCGAGAGTCCTGTTCGTGATCTCGGTCTGACCATCAGTCTGAGGATGGTAAGACGAGCCGCGTAGATGTAGACTGGGTGGTAATTATTGGCGAGGAGGAGGGGGGTCAGGGCTGTGAGGCTAACAGGAGAGATGTGGAAGCTTACCTGGACTTACCTGGCAACGACACGTGAGATCTGCTGCTGTCTCCATGAAGGTGAGGAAGTGCTGCGCCATCCTCCATATCTGACTGCTGACGTGGAAGGAGGATGGGCACCCTGCTCTGATCTGCACAGTAATATGACAGAACCTCAGGGGGAACATGCACTGCTGAGGTGGCGTTAGTGAGATCCCCGAAGTGGGAGTGGGCGAGAGGAAGACATACATGTGCTATTGATTGTCATTGAGACTCTCCTCCTCCTCTTCTTGTCTCATCTCTTCCCTTACTCTTCTCTCATGCTCTTCGTTGACGGGGCAATACTCTTGAATTGTGCATCTGATCGACATTTGGACTTGTAATTGATGATTGTAGACTTCATCAGTCATGCTGGGTTCAGACTTCCATTGCATTGCTGATTTGCTTTCCGACGAGACTGGGTTCATTGCAGGTGACAAGTTTCATTAAAAATTCCTTTGGGTCTCTCTATACTCTTAAAGAAAATAGCGGGTCTCACGCGAGACCCCCTTCCCAGCTGGGTGCTTCAGATTTTCCCAATCTCGATGGCCTGGATGCAGCATTGAAGCAGTGGTACCTTTTCCCAGTCGGAACTGGAATCTTCCGGATACCTGCAGGCCACCAATGATGTGCATCTGATCGACCGCCGTGGCTGACCAGCATGTTGACTTTGACTTTGACTTTGGGCCTGAATTCCCGTGCTTGGGTTGACTCTTGATTTTCCAAGAGTCGACTACTGCGCCTGGGGCCCCCGGATGCTGCTGTTTTTGGCCCTGCCCCATGTACCCTTAGACCTTAGGCCCTTACCCAGGCGTTTCTCAGACTTAGGGCGTGACTCTTGACCCCCGTTTCAGGCCTTTGACCCAAAGTGACGACGTGTAGCCTGTGGCATGTAGACTTGGGCTGAGTTATTGCACACCCATACAAAGAGTGCGCACCATACTAACTAATAGCAAAAAAAAAAAAAAGAGTGCACACTGCACACCATTACTAACTAATAGCAAAAAAAAAAAACACAAGGGAAAAGAAAAAGAAAACAGCATAAAACTTCAACGCATTGTGGTATGAGGTCGCAGGTTCAAAACTCTGCCGTTAGGCGCTTTCATAGCTCCCAGCCGTTCACACCCGCCCCCCTCCCTCTTGGGCTGACGCATGGTGCCTGCGCACCAACCAAGGGGTTAGGTCCATGATTGTGGTATGCTGGTAGTGGGCTTTGGGGGGAAGACTGTTCGAGTGGTTGGCCTTTAGGGGTCTGATGAGTGTCGAGTGTCTGTGTGTGGGCTGGGCTGCTCCGTGGGTGTATCTGGGTGCGTCTGGGTACCATGGTTGTTTCCCGGCCTCATGATCCACCCACGAGAGTCCATGCCCACATTGTACGATCCTAGGTCCCGGGTAGACCCCGCTCTCTACACCCCCTTGAGTAGTGGTAGTGGTTGGGTGTTAGGCATATACGATGCCCACAGGCGAGCTTCAGGTTGATCTCACGATGCTTGTTGGCTGGGCTTCATCCGGGTTGGTGTCTGTCTGAGTTCCCACTGAGAGATCGACTGGGGCGTGAGTCTGGGTAAGGGCTTCTAGGTAGAGTGTCATCTTAGGGAGGGGGGGAAGGGTTGTCGCATTGATACAGGTCGTCCTCGAGATTCGGGGTGTCCCTATGGTAGCGCCCGGGGAGAAGTGTCCACGACCCCTCGGAAGGCACGGGTTGGTGTAGGTCTAGGTCTAGATAGAGAGGTCTGGGTTGCACCGCTGTAGGGCTCGACTTGCGATAAGATTAGGATATAACAGGTCACAAATGACGCCCCCTGGTGGAAGACTGTCCTTGGGGTTGTCACAGGCCATCCGATCCCTTCACTGGTTGAGTACGACGACAGACACCTCCCGAGGCCTAGCATACACCCTCTACCACGACATGGACCTTTTCAAAAACAAGAGAAAAAAAAAAAAAAACAGAAAATCAAGGCAAAGGTGCGCTTTCATGCAAAATCCGTCAAAATGTGCCCAAACGAAGTGTCAGAAAATTTCTGGAATTTCAGAAATGTTAATAGAGGAATTTTGAACAGTCCAACGGATACCAAATTAGGCACACATAAACCTTGACCTGAAACCAAAACAGGCAAAAAAAATCGACCCCTCGAAACCCTAAATTCAGTTTTGGGCCTTTTGGACCTTGTGGCCAAGACCTGAAAATAGGGGTACCCGTCAACCATTAGTGTCACAAGCATGACCAGATGATGCCTCTGTCCTCGGGGTTGTGCATTCACAGCATACTACTCGTCTCTTTTAATGATGTATCGACCTTGTTGAGCAGGCCCAGGTAGAGCGCGATCAATCAATCAGGAGGCATATGCTCCTCGACGATGATGAGGCTGACATGAAGATGTTTGAGTGAGTAATTCATCTTTGCAATCAAAGTTTCCTTAAGAATCCTTATTATTCGAGCACCCGCCAGCCGTCCGGTGGACATTCAGCTTAGCTCTTTCAGCCCCCTATGTGCCTGCGTATAACCAATTGTTTTCAAGTAGTAATACCTCGGATTTCTGTACGCTGCTCCAACTTGGAACGCATGCCAGTCAGCTCATTTGCAGTTTTCCTTTGTTGTTGTTGTTGTTTTTTCCCCTCCCTCTCCTTCAGCAAAATTGCTTTCAAAAATACAGTGCTGGTCTGTTATAAGTTGTAACTTATAACGATTCGGAGCTTTCAGTACTTTGTCTGAATGGTACAAAGGTCCCTGTAAAGGTTCCCACTCGTGCTTAAATCGGACTGGCCTCGATTAGTTCTTCCGCCCATATGCTTTTATTGAGTTTTTGAACGTTTTTCAGATTTTTTCAAAATTTTTGAAGTTTCGTCATTGTAGCATTTGACTGTGACTTCGGAACACAACGCCCCCTCGTCATGACTGTGACCACCTATATTGGTTCGTGCTCAGGGTGTGCTGTGTTGTTTTTGGGGGGGTGTAGACAGTAGAAAACTGGGGTTTGAGAGCATACTCACACTAGTTCTATCTTAAATGTATCAGAGCGCATTTACGGCCAGACCTGGATGCATCTGACTGCAATTCCGTCCATAAGTAAGTAAAAAAAAGTCCTTGTGTGATTATGCGCTGAGCCCTCGATTCTTTTTCACTGTCCTTCAAATCCTGTTCCATCTCTTCTCTTCTGTTCTCTCTCTTCTCTGGTGGATGCACTTCGCCGGGCCTTGCCTTGCCTCACCTCCCGTTGACCTAGGCTACCAGAGTGGCGCGGACCACTTGCCCACTCCCAGGCTAGAAAAATAGAAAAGAAAAGAAAAGTTAGAAAACACTTCATTAAGTTTATTTTAAAAAATTATCTTATTTATTTTCATTTTCGACTTGGTGAAGAATTTTGGTGTGACCCTAAGGCAAAAGTTGTTTTGTAACTTTTGTTTATTATTTAAATTTATTTTGCATAACATAGTTTTTTTCAGATTTTGAATTTTTTATCCTTTGTCTTTCGGACGTATCTTGCCTGGCCCATGCCCGGCCGGGGTGCCCAGGCAGCCAAGGTGGCCCGGTTGGTAGCCCATCCTTTTTGTTTTTTGGAGGGATCTTGCCTGGCCCATGCCCGACCGGGGTGCGCAGGCAGCCAAGGTGGCCCGGTTGGTAGCCCATCCTTCTTGTTTTTTGGAGGGATCTTGCCTGGCCCATGCCCGACCGGGGTGCGCATGCAGCCAAGGTGGCCCGGTTGGTAGCCCATCCTTTTTGTTTTTTGGAGGGATCTTGCCTGGCCCATGCCCGGCCGGGGTGCCCAGGCAGCCAAGGTGGCCCGGTTGGTAGCTCAGGCTTTGACTAATATCCACCCGGTCTCTGCCCATCTCCTTCTTGCTTCCTCTCGTTTTCTTCTCTCTTCTCTGGCGGCTCCACTTCAGCGAGCCTTGGCTTGCCTCAGCTTACCTTGACTTAATTATTACTCCCCATCTGTGCTCGTCTCTGTCTTGTTTTCATCTCTACTCTTTCCTCTTTTGCTCTCATCTCTGAATTTCAGTTTCCTTCTGGTTCATCTCATTTGCTTGCTGAGTTTATGCGCTCCGGAAATGTAAGCTGTCAGAGACGCCTGTTGATTGGCCCTGGACACGCACCAGGCTTCATGACATCATTGTTAAATCGGCAGTTCTTCCGAGGCACTTTTCTCCGACCCTGGGGATGCCCTATGGGTGAAGTACTGGTGGGCAGTACTTCCTAAAGTCGTGCCCATTAACGAGCCACGATTTTAGGAAAGGTACGGGTCACTACAGGAGTGCCCAAATTCATCCGACTAGAAACGTTTCTAACTTTGTACTCTATTTTTTCCCATGGCTGATAGCTGGGCCAAGTACTGGTGGTTTAAGGGGATGACTGGGTCGAGGGAATGCAGTTGTCCATGCTTGTGATTGGACCATGCGGCAACAAATAATTGGACCTAATATGTAGATCCCTGGTATGTGACTGGTGTCTGCAGGTTTTCGGCTAACCGATTCTCAGGTGTTCGCCCGGGTATTCGGGTAGGTAGTTTTGCATCCTTTCGTCGCTCTCGCACGTCTCTCTTACGTGCTCTCTTTCTCCACTCTCCTCTTCTTGTTTGTTCCTCAGCGTACCTTCTCATCTTTTGTATTATCTTCTCTCATCTCCTACTTTCAATTTGCCCGTTCTCTACTGGTACACCTTTTATGATGTGCAATTTGGCATCAACTTTTCCTGATTTTAATGCCTGCTTTGCTGCTCTATAAATATTCTTATGTGCTATGGACGGAAAAGTACACTTCGGCTGGAATCTGAGTTGTGGCACTACCATCTTCACCCGAATAGAACGCCCGGTAATTATTGACGTATCTGGACTGAAAATTGCACCAGATACGGCTATAATGACCGGGCGCTCTGTTCAGGTGAAGATGGCAGTGCAGCGAACTAACCGTAATAAGTGGAAATTGTCGACATTCCGGTCAACAATTTGTGTTTGAAGTTGCAGCGATGTCGGGATAAAATGACTGTGACGTAAATTTGTTGTAAAATGGTACGAATAGTCTAATACCGCCTGTACCTTTCCCAGCCATTCGCTTTTTAACAAGTTGTTCGGATTTGGTTAACTACTGCCACTTTCGGGCTGGTGGCACCAGCCGAAAAGAACAAAAAATTGCACCACGCCGGTTCGTCTTGTTTTTGGCGTGCAGCACAATCCGCCTCCAAAAGAAGAGGCGTGGAGGTATTGGTGCTTTTAAATGGCCAGTACACCACCCCAGCCTTGCTGAAAATGGAACTCGTCGCCTAGGAAAGTTTCTGAGGCTCGGCCTACCAGACCACAATGGCTGGCAGGCGCCAGCCAGAAAAGAAAATGCGCCGCTGGCGGTTCGTAAAAGCTTGGAGCGCAGTAACAAGGCGCCTCCAGGCCCGGGTGTACTGGTGGTTTAAACCACCAGTACCTCGCCCAGCTATTTTTCTCCGACGCGGCCGTTAACGCGCCGCGTCGGACGGGGGTCGAGCACTGAACGACCGGTACCAAGAAGAAAAACAGAAGTCGAGAAAAAAAAAAAGAAGAACAAAAAAAAAGTAGAAAGTGCAAAAAAAAAAAGAGAACGAAAACGAACGGGAAAAACGGGCGCCGCAGGTGGGGGAAGAAAGAAAGAGAGAGAGAGAGAGAGAGAGAGAGGGCGCGGCCCTCTCTCTCTCTCTCCCACCTCACCGCACAGCTCATATGTGCAAAACGGGAACGAATCTTCCCGCGTTTGCGGGAAGATTCATTCCCATTTTGCACACATGAACTGCACGGTGTGGGGGAGGAGTGTGTGTGTGTGTGTGTGTGTGTGTGTGTGTGAGAGAGAGAGAGAGAGAGACGGTGTGTTGCAGGGAGTGTTGCATCAAAATCGCCGGCCCTCTCTCTCTCTCTCTCTCTCTCTCTCTCTCTCTCTCTCTCTCTCTCTCTCTCTCTCTCCCCCCCACCTCAACACCACCGCGCAGCTCATATGTGCAAAATGGCAACCAATCTTCCCACGTTTGCGGGAAGAATTCATTCCCATTTTGCACACATGAACTGCACCGTGCGGGGGAAGAGTGTGTGTGTGTGTGTGTGTGTGTGTGTGTGTGTGTGTGTGTGAGAGAGAGAGAGAGGGAGAGAGAGAGAGAGAGAGAGAGAGAGACTGGTTCTTTACAAAACGGGAAAGAATCTTCCCGCGTTTGGGGGAAGATTCATTCCCGTTTTGCAAATTCGGAGGCAGTCATAATTTGCAAAACGGGAATGAATCTTCCCGGAAGGGCGGGAATATTCTTTCCCATTTTGCAAACTAGAGTTGCGGCGGGGGAACGATAGAGAGGGGGAGAGAGAGAGAGAGAGAGAGAGAGAGAGAGAGAGAGAGAGAGAGACGGCGCGTTGGCGGGAGTACAGCGTCGAAATCGCCGGCCCTCTCTCTCTCTCGACGCTGTACTCCCACCAACGCGCCGTCTCTCTCTCTCTCTCTCTCTCTCTCTCTCTCTCTCTCTCTCTCTCTCTCTCTCTCTCTCTCCGGTGATTTCGACGCTGCACTCCCCCCAATGCGCCGTCTCTCTCTCTCTCTCTCTCTCTCTCTCTCTCTCTCTCTCCATGCGACCCAAAACGGGCATCTTTGTTTTTCATTTTTTTGGGGGGGGCAGAAGAATGTCGATTTTTTTTTTTTTTGTCTTTTTTTTCCTTCCGATGTGTACCTACCGGTAGCTCGAGCCTCGGCGAGGTTCGGGATACCGGTAGGCTGAGCCACGGGCCTTAACAACCGCTATGTACTGGTGGTTTAAGGGTCATCCCACGTCTTTGGAAAAAACTTTCAGAATGAATTGATAGTAGATCCCCAATTGATCGCCATCTGTCCTCAGTTTTAACAATTCGGCAAGTTTCCATCATTGCTTGAAGGATGTAAAATGAAGCAAATGGACATCTATGAGCTATCATCATTTTGTAGAACACTTCTTGTTCTACTATTTATACTGGTATTAATGGCTATGATGGCTATCTAGATAAATTAGAAGTACGACAAGTTGTCCTCTGGGATATCGGTTAAAATTGGAACAATACAGAGAAAGATTATTAGCATGGCCCCTGCCCAAGCATGACAAGCAGAAATTGAGAAATGGTCCAAATAAAAAAGAACAACGACAAGTTAGAAAGTTTTACACCCCCAGAATAGAAGGGGCAGTGCATTGAAGGAAAAAAACAAAAAAGACTTGATATCCTATCATTTACTATGTATTGCTCTAGTAATCAATTCGAATTTGTAGAAACACTCAAATCAACAAAAACATTCACAGATCGAGTTTTGAAACAACGTTAAAATAAGTTCGCTATGAGCTATCCCTATTTTTGAGAATACAGCAGCTTCTGACACGTCCAACACAGATAGAATTATGTATGTAAATTGAAGCAGAGTAGGAAGTATAGTTGGCTCAAGCAATTGCCTACAACTACATTCCCTCGTAATCCGGGCCTTTCTGGGCCCTAGTGATCTGAAGAATAGTGGAATGCAGGTCGAACTTCAACTGCTATCATTTAACTCAAGTATGTGTTGTCTTCTTGTCTTCTCTTCTGCATATATAATATATATTTCACGATATATATGAGCCGTGTTTGACGATATGTATATCAAAATAAACTCCGACGAAACAGTTTGTCACAGCCCCTCGTTTGTTGTCTTCTTCTCTCTCTCTGCCTACGGTTTACCGGGCAGCCTCCTGATGAGTCGGTGAAACTCCGACGAAACAGTTTGTCACAGCCTCTCGTTTGTTGTCCTCTTCTCTCTCTCTGCCTACGGTTTACCGGGCAGTTCTATTTGTGACGATAT